CAGACGATTCCAAAAACATCATTGGGACTCTTTCATAGAAGTATATATCTTGAGACTTTCGCAGCTGATTGTTCAACGAAAGATTTTTCTAGTCATACAAAGTGGCATAGGTATCTTTTTATGTTAAACATCTCTAGCCATGATAAAAACATTTCAACTTTTAGTTGTAAAAAAAAATATCTACCGCTAACCCTTCTTCTTGCTAAAAGTCTTTTGCATGTTTGTAATGTTATAAATATAACTAGTATAGATTCATGATGTGTTTTTGTTGGTTCCGTTTCATGTGTCATAAAAATAATTGAGGTTGGAATTTTCGAACTTTAGATAAATAAATAAGAATGCTTATTCAAACAACAAAAATATACGATAGATGGTGTTTTGTGATTAATGCGCATCCGCGGAAACTATTTTTAAAGTAAACATGTTTTCTTTGTTCTTTTAAAATGATCACTGATTTTATATATTCTATGTACTGCACAGAGAATAAAGATTTATTTTTCTCGTTAATGTTTTTTCCGTTGTTTCTCTGTCCGCTTGAGTTCTGTCAATTCAAAGTAACACCAAGAGTACCTTACAGTAACAATAGTTACTTGAGACCTCAACTGTTACTTGATATCCGTAAATGAAATTATTTCAGTTTGAAAAGCGCGCATTCAAATATTTATTTCAAAGTGTTCGTATTTGATCAAAAAGTCATTTGGCACATGGAGGAATGGCACTTTCCCGTTTCTTTCCAGAGTAATGGTAAAGTGGTACATTTTATTTTCAAAAGTAAAGAGTAAAGATAGAATGCATATCCTTTCTTGCCTAAAATAAAGGAAAGTGGCATCTTTTCTTTTCTGGGAAAAAGAAAGATATGCATTATATCTTTACTCTTTTTTGTTATCAAGAAAAAGAAAAACTTTTCTTTTGTTGATAAAAGAAAGAGGAAGTGCTACTCCTATTCTCAAGACGATAAGTTAAGAGTTTTAAAGAAAACAAGTCTCGTTTTTTGAGTGTGGAAACCGATTGTCAACAAGAACACAGTGAAGATCAAGCATGAGAGCAAATCAGTGTTTACCATGTTCAACATACTTTTGAAGTTGTATATCTGGAAAGTGATTGTCTCCTTCAGTAGGTTGTTTTACTTAGACTCTAGAATCTAGGACACGATATGCTAAGATCAATGCCGAATTTTTATATACCTAAATCTTCTTCTTTGTCCGTTCACCTTGTGAAGGGTGAAATGAAGGGGGTGATACAATAAAAGATTCGAGTCTTCTATTCTGTCCTTAAGAAGAAAGATTTTAGGGGAGGGGAGAACTTCTAGCGTGTTCCTGAAAGAAAGCTGTTTTTCAAGTTCATGCTTTGAACAAATGAATTTTGTCTCATTGTCAGTTATTACTGAATATTAGGAGTCAATGAGAGACAAACAGTTATGACAAAATGCGAGGATAGCGGTTAGACCGCATTTTTTTCTTTCATTTGACTCCATGCATTTCTTGTCACATTTCTTGTGTTTTCTATATCAACTGACGCACGAACGTAAAAAGATACATTTTGTCATCTTATCACGTGCGCAGAATGACACTTTCTCGCTTCTTCATAGGCATATTTATGTGCGCTCAGTGAGACGGAGAACTTACTTTCAATAGAAAATATTTATTATGAGTTTTACAAGCCTTAAGAGTTGAAAACTGAAATATAGTGGAGTCTTTTATTTCCACTTTTACAAGATGAGTCACAGAGGGTGCTTCTATTTTGGAGTTCTAGTGTTCGCGCCTTTACGCATTTCTAACAATCGTTCCAGGCAGATTTGATTATAAGATTCCATAAATTTTGATTTATTTATAGTGAATGTTTGCTTTCAACGGTTTTTTCCCACTTATTCGGTTCTGTGTTATCGATTTCATCTTTCGTCTTGTGTTACTTAATTCTCATTATACTCATTTTTTACTTCCTTTACTTTCACATATTATTACTCCTAATGAACTGTTCTAGTACCTACAATTGGCTATGCATGTAATATAATTGATTCTTCGATAAAAGTATGTCAGTTAGTTGTGACATAGTCGAAAAAAACCAACTTTAATTTGATTTTTTCTTTCTATAAGAAAGCAGTACATTTTTATAAATTTTGATTCAAGTCTCTCTACTGCAAACTAAACAGCCTGATCAATTACAAAAACGTTTTCCTTCCATTTCGCCCATTAACTTGTCTTTCTATGCCAGCCAGTGAGAAAGCCACTCAAAGAACGTTTGGTGAATCAGTTAAGTCATATCATTCACATACATATACAAAATTAGAGTATTATTAAACTTAGAGCATAAAGGTGACTTCATACATCACATTATCACATTTCGCTCTAATCAGATGTTCGATATTATTGTTAAATATAATGTCATATTTGCGTTTTTTATTCCAGTATTACATCGCATACCACAATATGGCTTAGGTCACGTTCACACTACAAATTTAAATAGCTTTCGAGAACAAATTTCGAGTTGATTCTGAGTTAACTCGAAGTTAACGTCGAGAGCGTCCACACCTAAATCTTTAATACACCAATAAGATTTTGACATTTCCCCTAAAACTGTGCTCCGTCCTGGTTTCAGTATTCGACTTGTCGGTTTGAATTTACGTTCTACAGTTGACTTATTAAGCTCAAATAGCAAAATTGAGTAGAGAGTCAGATGTTTGTTTTTTTTAAAAACGTTTTAGGTCATATCTACCATACTTGAATAGTATCGGAATCCCATTTTTCAGATTCAGTTTTAAACAGAGAACAAGAATAAAAAACTCTCAAACACATTATGTTCGAGCTTTTTATATTCGCTTTTAAAAAATAGATCGTTTTTTAAAATTTTAAAATTTTCACTTTTTTTAAATTTTCGACATTAAAATTTTGATTGGAAAGGTTAAAACACATATACTCTTGTTCAGCTCGACGAGCTCTATTCAACCATGTATACATATCGCATAAATAAATTTTGCTTCAGTTTTGAATTACTGGCACTTTACTTGTGAACTATTTATGAAAATTTTTGATTTTTCGACAAAACCCGGTCTTGATGCCGCATTTTGGTTACGACTCTGTACAGGTCACGTCTTTTGCTTTCGCTTTTATTTTATGTGAAAGTTGTCGCCCACGTTTCGATTGGCTTATACATTGACCTTTGACGCTAGTGACGAGACCCACCTCATTTGTAAAGCTCAGCCAGCTGAACCGAATGGTGAAAACCGCAAGTCTCTAGTGTTAGAAAAAAGTTACAGTCGTTATACCCACGCGGCGAAAAACTGCATTTTTGGCCAAGTTTCTACGATGTTTTGTCAAAAAGTGCCATAGAAAATACGATACAAATGGAAAATTCAGCATTAAAGCGAAAATTTTCGATGAATTTATATTCATAATGCTAAAAAGCCTGTAACTCGGTCGTTCAAGATCATACAAACTTGGCCAATATCTCATCTTGTAGAGAATTGAAGGGGCTATCCAATGATATGATTGAAAAGCTTGAGACTGAAACACAAAAGATGTGACTGAAACAAATTTTAAGATTGCGAAGTTTTCTAGAAAATCGAATTTTTCAGAAATCTCTATCTCAAGGCCCGAGGTGTAGCATAACTTTTCTTCATCGAAATATACAGAACTCCACGCACTCTTCAATTTGGTACCAACTTCAAGGTTCTACGTTAGGAAATGTGGCCAGCAGACGTTCTACAAGTTAGGCCAAGTCTGCTAGAAAATGATGAAAATGCATTTTTTCGCTGCGAGGGTAAAATAGCTATAACTTTTTTTCTAACGCTAGAGACTTGCGGTTTTCACCACTCAGTTCCGCTAGCTGAGCTCTACAATATGAGGTAGATTCCGTCACTAGTGCCAAAGGTCGATGTAAATGGTGGTAAGTTTTATATGGATTGAGCCCATCCATCGATGCCGAAAACACCCCTTTTAGGTAATAATATCCGAAAAAGTGAGTGTTCACACTTTCAACTAGAAATGAATTGCCAGTCATTTCGTGGAGTTCTGAAAGAGCTTTCTGCTGATACATATTGTAGCTCGCAACCCAAGTTCTTTCATGGTGAAAAAATAGAAATATTATCGTATATTAACTTTCCTTCAAACTTATTTTATTCTAAGAAAAGTACTAAAACACATAGCAATGGGTTTGCGGAGATATTGTTCAAAGATAATCGATTTTCTTACAGATATCAACTTTGAAGAGGGCCGAGGCGTTTAGAACACCATAAAATCACATGCTCTTTCATTCTGAACATCTTTCGAGAAAATTTGAAATGAGGTCGATTTTCGTTCTTATTGCATCTCGTCCTTTCTCGACAAAAATGAAAGTCGTTTTTTCGAAAAATTAAATGAGCCACCCAAGCAAAAACGACCCAATTTTTTGGGTTATTTATCTAGATTCAGTTCCACGTGCATCTAGATGTACGTGGAGTTGAATCTAGATAAATAACCCAAAAAATTGGGTCCTTTTTGCTTGGGCATTTTGTTCAGAATTTGAGGCTGATTCCAAAAATGTGGATGATACTGATTGTTAATAATGTGACATGAAAAATGCTCTTAACGTCACTGTCCCTCTAGATGAATTTCTTGTCTGATCATATTTCGAAAAAAAGTTGATTATGGTGACATAACACGAGTTTGGGGTATTCTATGATATTTTCGCCCACTAAAGCCTACGAAACCGGTAAGACATGAGGTTTCAAACAGAAAACGTTAATGGAAATGAAACAAAAATAGAGATGTTAGAAAAGTCATCATAACGAGGATCTTTTAAAATGGTTGAAAGAAGTTTCTGTATCAAGCTGGTACAGCCGTATGTTTTCTGTGGTCAATCACATAGACTGATCGAAGAGCCAAATTATCAAAACCGCAGTTGTTCTTAATACTTCTATGAGGCTTTGTGCATTACAGTGAAATATTTTTTTTTCAGTGAAATATTGTTTTTGACTACATTCATTAGTGAACGATATAATCACCTAATATGGCGGAGAAAAATGTTCACAATTCATTTTTGAGTGAATTTTTGTTAAAATTAATTCTATTTTGTATCATCAAAATTCTTTTATCTTCTTTGGGCTCGACAAAATTTAAATAAACATATAATGTTTGTTCAAACGCGATAATTGCACTCCTATAATCTTTTCTTTGTTCATGAACGGTTCCAATTTTAAAATACAATTGAACAATTACTGAATAGTTTTGTGGTTGAATATTTAGTTGAATATCGAGTGCTTTATTTAAGTTTAATACGACGGTGTCATAATCACCATTTTCGTGATACATTACAGCGACACTTTCATATGTATCAGCAATCATAAAATGAAAATAAGACAATGCTAATTGAGTATGTTTCAGTGCGCTTTCATAATCAAGCTTAATTGAATATAGTGTTCCAATATCAGAGTATATTTGTGAAATTGACAAAAGATCGGCTGGTGATGTTATGAATAATATTTCAAGTGCTTTTTTACTCAATTTTAAAGCCATATCATAATCACCCACTTGTTTGTATATTTCGGCAATGTTGCTAAGTCTCGCAGCTGTTAACGAATTACTATTTTGTTGAGTTCTTGATTGAATATCAAACGTTTTACTTAAATATTTGATTCCATTAACATAATCGTCTATTTCGACATAAATTGAGCCTAAATGATAATAAATAAAATCCAATGTTGCATAATCGATCTCAAGTTCAAATTCTAATGTCTTTTTATAATTTATTAACGCTGTTGAATAATCTTTATTTTGTTTATAATAAAGTGCAATATTTGAATAAATATATCCTATACCAGGCTGGCCAGTTTCTAAGGAAATGTCACGCGCATTAGTCAAATATTCAAGTATTTTTATTGAATAATCGCCGTGAAGTAAACTCAGATGTCCAAAATTGTTATAAGTTAATACTATGTCAGGATCATCTGGAGAAAGTGATATTAATTGAATGTTAAGTGCTAATTTTGTATATTTAAATGCGTCTGAAAATTGACCAAGTTTATAATACATATATGCTATATTATTCAATGTTATAGCCAATGATGGATGATTAGATGGCAATAATCTCTTTTGAATAACAAAAGCTTTATGATAATTGAATAATCCATCATCGTATTCACCTTTACTGCCATAATACGAACCTATGGTACTATACGTATCTGCATTTAATAATAACGAATTATATTCACCGAGATTTTGCGAATTGTCAAAATACTCTTTAGCTTGTCCACTGTCACCGTTATTCTCGTATGTTATTGAAATAAACTTGCTATCGGGTCGAATTTCAAATGCCCTAACAAAATATTTCAAAGCTAGATCATAATTGCCTTTTTTATGATTAATCAAACCGAGATTACTATTTATTTTACTAATATAATCACGATCGAGTGATGAAATTTCATTAAATAATAATTTACAATATTCTTCGGCTTTTTCGTATTCGCCCACGGTTAACAAATAATCAACTAAAGTATTTTGAAAATTTGAATCTTTGAATTTTTCATTTAACTTTTTTTCTAAAATATCATTCATTATTAATTTAACAACCCATATTTGACGATCCACTTTTTCGATTGATTTAATTTGAAAGATTGTGCCCATTGATAGCAGCACAGTGGTATTACTTAATATTATGAATGGTTTAGTTTGATTACTACCATCTATTATCATTTCAAGTTGTACTAATCCTTTGTCGCAATGTTTTTGTTGTTGCTGTTGTTTAGTGTAAACATGTTGAGTAGTTGTCAATAAAAATGTATCAATTGATATAAGCGTAGAAATGTATTTTTTCAGTTCTTCCAATTCGTTTGTTCCCATACATAAATGTTTATAAACCGTAAAATTTTCGTGAGTTTTCTGATAGCGAAATACTCGGATCATTTGATTATGAAGATCATTAATAAAGAATCGAAATTTAAGTAAAATATTCATATCAAATATTCGAAATGCTTTACTTAATATTCAATGTAGAAAACTTCCATAGTCAGAGTTGTTCCACCATAAAATTGCATTGTTTGATGAATACGTATGATTGAAATAAACAATATGTTTTTGTGCATCTTCGTCGTTCACGTAATACGAGTATAATGCATGTACAATCTCTTCTTTTGAATGTTCTTTCTTAGGTAAACGATGGATTGATTCAAGGAATAACTTATATGAAATAAATTTGTGTTTATCCTTTGAATCAGCCAATGTTAACATTATTCTTTGCTGGAAGATACTTATTGGTATCAAATTATTAAAACATGAAGAAACATCAGCTGTTAGTTTAGAATAAAGATCATCTTCATCACTGAATATACCACTCAGTTTTGAATGGTGTACTTTCAATTGTTTGCATTTGTCACTCCTATTACAAAATATATAAACAAATTCAGTTTGTGGCTTATCAAAGTAAATATGTATTTGGTCAATGAACAAATCAGATACGATCAGAAATAATTTTTCTGTTTGAATAGACGATATATGATCAACACATTGATTAAGATCGTTAAATGTACTCACATCATATATAATGGAACGTAATTGTTGAATGTTTAAAATATTATTTTCACTGTTACCATCATCATACAATAGTACGATAGAAAAATCTTCAAGGTTTTCATAGGCAACTGTGTTGTTGACAATTATACATAATAGATGAATTAGAACCATAAAATTACAATTAACCATTGTCGTGCTCTATTATTCGTTTGTATATGAATCTGTCACCAATGTTGTGCAATTAAACTTTTGGCTTTTACGTTGAGAAAAAAATTCAATTATAACAAAGAATTGAATGCTCACGCTCATTTGATGCGCTTATACCCTACGTCTGCATAGAACCAAGTAAAAACAAAACTAAGTCAAGACATCTTTTTTTTAGTTTTTTCCTGTTTAATAGTTCGTAGCAACCAAATGTCTTTGTGTTTGAAAAACAATATTCGATTGTAACAATCATTTTATTTACTTATTGAGTCAACAGAAAGGAACATTGTAAAATTCATCTTTTCCTTCAAACAAGTTATTTTTTTTAAATTTTACTGCTTATTAAAGAAGAAAATATAAAAACTGCATGTAAGAAATGTTTTTCACAGACTTTCTCGATTGACACTGGGGTTAACATTGACCAACCATTGATCATGATGTGGGATGGTAGGACGCCACCAGTAAATTTACTCTAATTCTTCCAAAACCTGATGAAAACATGATTTCCTGTGTGCCATTCGACGCGTCTCACCCTTCAACCTTGACCAGCTCAGCGTTCAAACAGGCAATCACATCTTACAGGGTACTTTGTTCTGATGAAAGAGAAAGAAATTACTTATTATTTGCGCTCACCTGCCGCGTTGTATGTTGGAATTTTCCCCGTTCTCTTATACCCTCACCCGAGAGAACAAGCACATGTACATCGTTCATGCTTGACGTAACACGGTTACATGACGCATCGAGGAAGTAGTGTGAGGTAATAGAAACGTAAGGTGGTTGTTCGACAAACATCTTTATTTGGAATCCTCTCTTGTGTGAGATATCTGCTTCTCTACGATAGCATATCTCTACTACACAAAGTAAAGGTAATCATACGCTTAGAAGCACATGCATAAAAGCACGTCGGAGTTCGGCAACTCAGTACCCTTCAATATTTTGAATGATGCTCAAACGAGAAAAATGCTATGAGAAATTCAAATAGCAGGTTTCGTGGAGAATTCAATTCTCTATCGATTGAGCTTAGAACGAATTCTTTGAATCACTGGACAGTGCCTCAAAAACAACGAACAAAGGTGTCCGATTTTATCAGGACCACCCGATATGTGTTCATAAATACACGTATATGACTCATGACTCGTTGAAGGCATAGCTCAACTTTCCTTCAGACTCTTCTTAAAACTACAGGCATTATTAGGTGAAAGTAAAAGTGTGTTTTGTTTCTGCTTTTGACATTTACACAAAAAAAAGAAACTCGTTTCTCAAATCTTCTTTTGCTGAAAAAGTGGTTTGAAAAGAACTAAAATACCCTAAAAAGTTTTTTAAAGATAAATCGGTGAAAAACGGGAAAAAACGACCACTTGAAAAATTCAATCAGATCGGTCGATCTGATACCGATTCGGCTTCAGCTCTGGACCGTCCAGAAATCTAATTTTGTTTTTGTGCTGTATTAAAGATGGACATTCTGGCTCCTTCTTCGATCTTTTCAATAAGAGAAGCAGATTAATGATCATTCCTTAGTAAGTTCCTTAATCCCCTTTGTTTATTTTGTTTTTGTTGATGTAGTGGAGCGTTGCAGGAAGCACAGATGAACTTGGTTTCACTTCTTGTTTTCTTGTTCAGACGCACTTTACACGGCATTGAAGATCTGTACTTCTTTGGTGTTGGTGATATGTTCAACAATTTGTGCTGAGACGGTTTCCCATCTAATCTTGTAACAGGATCTTTGTTGATGCTCTCTATGGGTTCGTTACAACTTGGCGATCCTGATGTACTGGATCTAGGCATAGCTTCAGGTGCACTTGATGGTGTAGATACAGTCTGCGTAACTTATGGTCTGTACGAAGACGGATTTGTAGATTTGATCCAAAATCGACGTTTTAAAATGGTGTTTATGGCATTTCATCATGTTAACAATCATGGTACATTTCTTTTCTATAAATATAATATGCTCTTCCCAGGACAAACCTCTACCAAGCATAATTCCTAAATGTTTATGTACATTCAGTAAGCTTAATTGTGCTGTACCTAATAGTAGAGCAATAATGCCATGAGGGCGTCGAGTAAAATACATGCTCTCACATTTGTCTATATTGAGTAGTAATTGCCACTTAATCGACCACGAAAGAACTTTTGATAGATTGCGATCCATGTCTGATATAAGGAACTGAGCATTAGTGTAGCTGTTATATAAAACAGTATCATAAGCAAAGAATCTCGTGACACAATCGAGATCGTCGCCTAAGTCATCAATATATATCCAGAAAAGCAGAAGAGCTGGTATGGTACCTTGTGGAACACCTCCATTAATTCGTAGTGGCTTAGAAGAACATCCTGTAACTACAGTTATTTGGAATCTATCTGTTAAAAAACTCTCAGACCATTTCAGCAGTTTGCCTCTCACGCCTTTTCGCTCTAATTTATATAGGAGTCCTATGTGCCACACCTTTAAAATCTGCTGATCACTTTAAAGAAATCATTTATTCCTACGAACGGCTCACAAGGGATTACCGTTTTACAGTAACCGATCTGAGAGAATATAACGTGGCACTACAGCTTGGTCGTATTGCAGTAGGTAACCGATTACAACCTATCACAACATACAAAGCAGCAAACAAAATGACATATTGCACTAAATGTTGGGGTTTGGGCCATTTGAGAGATGTATGTACAATACTAACTCAAAGATGTCGAATATGTTTAGGTAATTTTGGTCCAAATCATCAGTGTTCTAATGTTCTAAAATGTGCTAATTGTCAGCTGGAGCATCACTCACTAGATCCAAGATGCGATGTTATTCGTCGTTATCGTACGGATTTAAATAAAGCTGTTAATATGGCTATTAGTGAAGGTAAATTACACCGTCGGGAAATACCACAGCAACAGTTTCAACCGACAACATTTCGTTATAAC